CATGTGGAACCTCCAAGACATCACAAAGCCCTGGACACAGCTTGCTGAGAGCCCTCAGTCCCCAGATGAATAGGAGACTGGGGCTGGGCTAGCCATTTGGGCTGGGAGCACATCTTCAGCTCTCTGTGCCTGGAAGAGGCCATTCTGGTTCTGGTTCCGGCATAGATATGGGCCTCAGCTCCCTCCCTGCCCCTGATCAGACACTGCTCACCAGGTGGTGCGCTCCTACATCCAGAGCGAGTTTGCGAGTGTCCGCACCTCCAACTCCATCTTGGACCTCTTCCGAAGCCCAGCCGTCCGCAAGGTCACCTGCTGTCTCATGGTGGTCTGGTAGGTGATGGGCCCAGGCCCTAGCCTTTGACTTGGTGGGGGCGTGACTTCTGCCCCCACTGTCAAACTCTGTCCCCGTGCCATGAGCAGGGGAGACTTGTGAATCCCTCTCAGCCCGAGCTCCTCTGAGATGTGGTGACCATGAGATGAGGCGCTGACCTAGCCAGGGCCGCAGGTCTCACCTGGGCGGGGTGCAAAGAAAATACCCAGGCTACAGTCTTATCCTATGGGCCCGTGAATGTGTCCACTCTGAAAAAACACTTCTGGGTCCAGAAGGGAACAAAGGGAAACGACAATGTCCACGCACATGACAAGTATCCTAGCAGCAGGTGATATTAGGGGGCTTTTAATGTTGTCAGAGAGGAATTCCTGACAGGTTCCTAAGCATAAAGGTGTGGAATGGCTGTAAATGCAAAAGCAGCCCCAGTGCCTTAGCACTGAATGCTAGTAGACACCAGCAGGGCTGGTGCAAAATGACCAGCTGAGTTTCTCTCCGCTGGACACTTAGCTCACTGGCATTGATATTTATGAAGCAAGGAAGCAAGCTATTAATTATTGTCATTCTCTGGTGCTGACCCCAGCACTCTTTTAGTAGCTACCTGCTGAACTGAGGCCAGACTGCTCCTGTGACCTCCAGCCAGTCAGACCCATGGGACCTGTTTGTACTTTTATTTTTTTGTTTTGTTTTGTTTTGGTATGTAGTTCAGGTCACCCTTGAACTCACTATGTAGCCCAGGCTGGCCTCAAACTCACTGTAATCCTTCTGCCTCAGCCTGCCGAGTGCTGGGATCACAGGCTTATGCCACCACACCCGGCATAGTTTCTCACTTCTATACTGGCCTTCAAGGTGCTGGTGAGGATCAGAAGTTAAGGTGAATGAATGTAGTGATGGTGCACGCTTGTAATCCCAGCATTTGGGAGGCTGAGCCTCCGGAGTGCTGGGATTACAGGCGTGTGCCACCACGCCTGGCTTCACAGCAATTTATAAGATGATAATTAAGACAGAGTCCAGGGAGGGTCCATAATTAATTTAAGGCCGCACACCTAGGTTGAGAACCAGATTCAATTCAGGGTCTGTCACAGTCTCTCAGTCACTCTCTGTTTGATGTTCTGCAAAAACAGGGAAGGTGGCACGTCCCCCGCCTTCCTGATTCTAAGACAGGAAGAAAGCTTAGGATCTGAGGCGGGTGGAGGGCTGACCTGCTTTACGAACTGGAATGAGCTCTCCCCAGGCCTGGCCCTTCTTCCCCCTTCTTTCTCTCGCAGGTGGCTGCCGGAGTCGTCCCGATGGCTCCTTCTCCACGGCAAATCCCAGCAAGCTGTGCGGAACCTGCGGCTGGTGGCCGTGATGAACGGGAGAAAGGAGGAAGGGGAAAGGCTGACCATGGAGGTGAGCAGGGCGTGGAGGAGGGGCTGGAGGTGGTCTTCTGTCTCACTTGCAGCCTCCGGTTGTACAGCATTTGACAGCTTCGCAGGACTCACCTGCACCAGGTGCCAAGGCTGGGAGTGGGCAGGGCGGGCAGAGTTCTACTGTGGGAAAGAAATGGTTCAAGCATCGAGTGGCCGTGTGACCTGGGCCAAATGATCGAACTGCTTTGTTCATGAGACTGCCCATCTATGCAATGAGGAAATAACCTCATCCCGTCAAAACTGTAACTATATTTTAATCACATTTAAAATAGTGAGGCCAGGCATGGTGGTACATGCCTAGAATCCCAGCATTCAGGAGGCTGAGGCAGGAGGATCACTGTGAGTTCAAGGCCAGCTTGAACTATATAGCTAGACTGTCTCAAAAAAGAAAAGAAAGAGTCACCATAAAATGAAATTATTGCAGAATCGATAACAACAGTGACATGTATTATAAATGCTACTTATTATAAGATAGTTAATATTTATTACCAATATATGCTGTTTATTAAGCTCTGTGCAAGGCACTATGCTAATAGCCTGACATACATAACTTTATTTAAGGCCTCATTTTTGCCAGTGAGGAATTGGACTTTAGACAGTTAGAACACCTGGCGGGTGGCTGGCCCACTCAGAAGCCCCACTTTTAACCACTGCCTGGCACTGTCTCAAAGCCTATTTGGGGAATGTGGTAAGGACTCCCCTGAAACTATAGAGCCTCT